TCAAGCGCTTAGTTCTAAAAGTTCTTAAGTCACAAAAAAAAAATATTTTAAGAATATCATTTAGCTCTAAGCTCTTCAATTGGTAACATATATACTTTAACGTTTATACCTAATGAGTTATTTACAACATTTAATGAAAAAAAAAAATGACTTCTCAAGGTGGTACACCCCCATTAAGTTTAATATTATTTCTGAAAAAATCAATTTTTTAAATATTTATACTTTTCAGTTCATAGAACTTTTTTATAATTTTGTTTTTTAAATAAAACAAACAGATAAGTAAGTAAAAATGTATGTACTTAGACCATAAAAAGATTTTGAGGTCCGTACCAACGTCATAGCAACGCATTTTGTAATAAGAAAAATTTTATCATGTTCAAGCTTCAAAGCAACAATATCTTATTTATACTTTACCTTCTTCTTTATTTTGTGCTCTATGTTCAGTGAAGGTTTTTAATGGGCTCATGCCCATTAAAAACTTTCACTAAATATTTTTTGTACTTTTCTTAAAACGTCATTTTTAACACATGTGAAAATTTAAAAACAAAATAATTTCAGATTGGGACCATATGTTAACTTGAAGTTTTCAGAGTGTTTTTGTTAGTGTTTTGTCATTCTAGTTAATTACCTAAGTCATTAATTGATATAGAAAATGAACTAGAATCACAAATAATCATTGTGTAAAAGTTTATTTAATACCTTTATTACTTGCCTTTTTTGTTAAAATATTTAAGAAATCTTTTAAAAATTACTTTTAAAATTATGCATACGTCTTCAATGCATGATTTTGTTTCAAAAAAAAGCATACAAATCAACAAACTAAAAAAAAAATTAAAAATTCGAGTTCAATTAAATAAAATTTGTTTATAAATTAAAGGTCAAATGTTTGTTTGTGTTTGCTCTTACTAGTTATTTTTTAAAACTTCATCAGCTAAACTAGCATCAAATATTAATAAATCTATTTATATTCTTACTCTTAATATTTTATTTATTTTTATTAATAAATCTAATTTATACTCTTACGAATTATTTGTATTAAACTAGTTTTCAATAAAAATTTCAATTGCATTTGTGGAGATAGTTGGCTTGCTTCAAGCCTTCACCTCTCTATATCTATCTAATTCACGATAAAAGCGTGAATTGAAAGTGCAACCAAATAATGCTAATTTAGTTTCTTTATATAAAAATGCTGCATTTTTTTAATTTTAAAAAATGTAACTGTTTAGACGACGTTCATCAAGTTTTATTCATCATAAAGCTCATTAGGTTTATTAAGTATGATGATAGAAAGTGAAAATAACAAATATTTAGCCCACTTTTTGGAAAGCACAATAAAATATTCCAGCTTTGTCTAAAAAAAGTTTCTTGACTCTCACAACAAGAAACAGCGATGCAAGCACACTATTTAAGCAAAATAACTCAATCAAGTTCAAAATAGCATGTTGGGTAATTGTGTTTACTTCTATTGTTAAAAAGATGTACGCAGCCATAATTTTTTTTCATAACTTTTAATTGAAGTCAAAATCATCTTTGTTTATTGATTTGTGCGCTTTGGCTCTGACAAGAAATTTTTAACTTCAAAGAGAAAAAGCGTTTTCTAGGTAGAAAATCTGAAAAAAAGAAGGTTTGCTAACGTTGCAAAGCTGATTATGGAAATTTTCATTAATGCCAAATTAAGTTGAAGAACTATAGAGGCCAGGGCTATTATAACGGAGCTAACATTTTAGTGTCATTTAACATGGTGATTTCATTCAAGTGATGAATAAAAACATAACCACAAAAAAAATACAAAAAGTTCTCAAAGTAAATGGTGTAAAAGATATGTCATATATATATATATATCTATATATATATATATATATATATATATATATATATATATATCTATATCTATATATATATATATATATATATATATATATATATATATATATATATATATATATATATATATATATATATATATATATATATATATATATATATATATATATATATATATATATATATATATATATATATATATATATATATATATATATATATATATATATATATATATATATATATATATATATATATATATATATATATATATATATATATATATATATATATATATATATATATATATATATATATATACATTAACAGTGGAAAAACAAAATGAACTCATTCAGGTTACGAAAAAAAAATCAAATGTGCCTGTTGCTTTTCACCAAGCTAATTGAGGTGAATAGCAACACTGGTTAGATTGTTGGTATTTTGCCATTAGAAATAACACAGGGTGTATAGCAATACGTTAAATTTGTACACACAATGTATTTAAGATTTTAAAAAATAAAAAATTCATATAAAACTTGTTAAATTCTAAGAAAAAAGTGACAAAATTTTATTTTTAAGCAAACATTTTCCTAAAATTGAATCTAAAGGTTTCTGAACATCTTTAAGAAAACTGAATGCATTTAATTTATTGTAAACCCATCAAGATCATCATCAAATGAAATAATTCCTTGAAATCTTCCAGCTGTGCACAATTTCGGTTTCCCAAGCTTGCGGATGACATCCTCAGGTGTCTTGAAGAGTGCTTCTTTGTCCGTTTCCAAAAATCTTAAGCCATGGGAGGTCTTCTTGTAAAACTTTCCAATATATCCCTCTTCATCAAATTCTATAACTTTAACAACATACAAGCAAAACGAATTTTTTGTCTTTATAATCAGTTTTATAAGGGCAAAGTCCCCAAGTGAAAACTTTGAAAAATCATTTTCCTTCAAAGTTTTGTTTACCGATAAAAATGAATCTTCCTCTGAGAAGCTCTCCCTCCATTCTGCATCACTTTCTTGAAGTGAATAGTCAGACTCTTCAGTAGTTGATTCATCAGGATCTTTAACATCTTTTTTTCTTTTTAATGTGTTCTTTGGTCCTTTGCTCGTGTTACTAGGTCCTGCTGTACATTCATTTTTGTCAGTAGAAACCTCTGTTGGAAAGTCTGTAACTTCAACACTTTTACCTGGAGAGATGGATACTTTTTTTCTTGTTTGCCTTGCCTTCGGTTTGTCGGATTGTCTTATAGATTCCATGTATTGCTTGAAGCTGGCATCCAATGCTTCAGCGGCAGCTTCATTGCTAACTAATCTCTTAGAACCTTTAGAGGGAGGCAGCATGCCAAGGACTTTTTCCCTATTCAGTGGAACAACGCCACATTTTTTGAAACCAGAAACATCATTCACTTCTTTAAGTGACACAAATAGCTCTTTTAGAAGAGGTGGGAATCGATCCTTTGGCAAAGACGCTTCACTTCTTCCTGGGCCTTGTTTCCGTTTTAAAAGGATGGATCTCCAAGTCAGTTTAAGGGGGTGGAAGAATGCCACGTCCAGTGGTTGTGTAAGGTAAGTGGAGTTACTTGGTAAAAATACGAATTTGATGTTATGTTCTTGACATATTTTAATGACATCTACAGATAAGTGTGAAGCCAAGTTGTCACCTAACAAGACCTTCACTCCTTTGAGTTTTGATAAATGTGGTATTGCAATGGTCTCAACCCAGTCTTGAAAATAATACGAATCAAACCACCCTGACTTTGTTTTGTTGAATCTCGAGTTTGGTGGTCCCCCAACTCTCCAGCTGTCATACATGTGCTGAGCTTTGTATACTACATAAGGCGATAAGATGGTTCCGTCACCAGCAGCGGCAAACATAACCGACACTGAAGCCTTTGTAGAGTTCATGACTTTTCCGGGATACTTACAGCCCCGCCGAGCTATAACCACTTTCCGGCCCGGGTCGTCGCTTAAGTTGGTTTCATCGTAGTTGATGATATTACTTGCCGGAATATCTTTTAGTTCTGTAGCAAGATGGTCAAAGTATTCATTTATATTCTCTTCATTAACTGCCACTCTCGACCGTTTAATATTTTGACACATGCGAGCCAATAGTTCCTTCTTGTGTCGTTCCAGGAAGCTGTAAAAAATCAGGCCCAGGCATATTATCCTCGAATTTTGGGACAGTTTTGCCCTGCATTTCAATATAATCCTTAATTAGCAGTCTCAAAGTAATTGAGTCAATTGGATATCCCCAATCACTGCAGATCTGAAGTCTACTAACTAAGACGTTTTCATCATATTCCGACAAAGCGGTTTGGCCACCTTTTTTCTTAGTTTTACCTCTTTTCATATGTCTGTAAAGTACAGTATGATCTATTTCATATTTTTCTGCCACTTTTCTAAAACTACCAATTTGTACTTCATTAAGAGCTTTTTTAATCACTTCAGGGTCATACTGCCTGCATTTTTTAATACTCACATACTTTCGAGGCATCCTCTTTCAGTTAGGCAACAAATCATACCTGAAACAAAAAACAGCTCTTATAGTAATCAAATAAATATATTTATATAATCTGTGATCAAGTTAAATACTTACAGTCAGTATTTATGTTAAAAATAACAAAAAAAAAAACAATCAGCTGTTGTTTATGAGAACTAAGGGGTGAATAGCAACAGAAAAAAGTGTGTTGCTGTTCACCCCAGGTTTTGTTAAAACCATGCCTAACCTAAAAAGTTTATTTTGTATAAATAAGTTATTACTATTTAGCTTAAAGTCATTTAAGTTTTGTTTGTAAGATACATTAAGTCACCTTTAAAACAATATGCTAAGTTAATTGAAATAACAGTGTCATACTTACAGTGGGAGCTTTTGACGAACAAAGTTTCTTAAAGATTTTCAGCGGCAAATCAATCAACAACAACAACCTCAAACAGGGATGCCAACATAATTATATATATATATATATATATATATATATATATATATATATATATATATATATATATATATATGTATATATATATATATATATATGTATTTACACATATGTACATTTAGATTATACTTTTGTATAGGCTATAAAAAGGAATTTTTTCAAAATTATTTTGAAATCAAAAAACAAATTTTAGCAGAAGAAAACTAAATGAAATTAAATAAAAAGAAATAAATGCTTTTACTTGTTTCTCACAAAAACGAATCTTTTGATTGCAATATTGACACGTAACCAAACGATAAATGCATTTTGTTTCCATGTGATCTCTGAGCTCTTTACGCAAAAGAGAAGTAGAACACTGTTCATTGAGGCATTTTACCTCTTGATATTCACAAGTTTCTAAATGGTTCTTAAATAGAAAAACATATTTAGCCATTAATAAATTATTTTAGAATAACACTCTCTTTAAAATAGCTTTGTTTTTTAAATGTTGCTAATAAGTGCTTTTCTTATCAGATATTGAGTGGTTTTTTTCTATAGAAATTTCTGCCTTATAAAAACTTTGAAATAAAACACTTTTTAGCAAGAAATTAAATCTAATTAAAAATTTTGCTGAAAAATGAAAAAAATTGGGGTGGTAGATTAATCGGTGTTTTAAGTTACTGATTAAATATTAATTTTCGAAAAATTATTTATTAACATTGATTAATTTTATAAATAATCTCTACAATTTAAAAAAAATAAGTACAACTTCTTTTGATTTTGTTTCTTTATCTCTATCAGATATTATTTGAAAAAACTTAAGTTATGAAGAGAAGAAGAGATTAAAATCATGTTTTTACTCTATTTTCCAGTTTCCTTCTCTTCTATTTTTTAAAGTTTTCAAATGCTGCCATTTCTCGTTTAATTCAAGGCAAAATTTTATTACTGATTCCTGATTACAAGTAAATTTAATATCAGACTAAGGTGTTACTTCTACTTCCTCATGTAGAAATAACACAAAGCTGCATTACAAACGTGTAAAAAACTTTGGATATGTGTACTGATCTTAAAGAAATGGTGTCTGTGTTGGTATTGCCTTTTTAAATATTGAAAAAGCTTTTCACTCGGTTGCGCATAGAAAACTAATTCTTAAATTGGAGTTAATTGGTATAAAGGGGTTATTACTTAATTGGTGTGTGTTGTTTTTAAATAACAGAAAACAAAGAGTAGTTCTAGGGAAATATGCATCATATAGGAAACTGTATAAAGTAGAACACCGCAAGGGTCAGTTCTTGGTCCTTTACTTTTTGTAATTTTTATCAATGACTAGCACAGGGTTTAAATAACAATGCTAAATTATATGCAGATGACATAAAAGTGATATCAAAAATAAATAAAAATTCGCATAATAACTCCCTTAATGATGACTCGGATTGGCGCTTCGAATAGTCGACTAATTGACTAATAAGCATTAACAGTAATAAACGCAAGATAATGCACATAGGTCATGGTAACCCAAAAAATACATGCACAAAAAATTAGGAACATCTAGAAAAAATCATAAAAAGACGTCGTTAGAACGAGACATAGGTGTATATATTTTAAATGATTTAAAATGGGAACATCATATTGAGTCTAATGTTAACAAAGCTAATAGTAAGTTGGGGTTAGTAAAACTCACGTTCAAATATATTGACAAAAATACTATGAAACTATTATACATATCTCTTATGCGACCTTACTTAGAGTATGCATTTCAAATTCGGAACCCATACTACGCTGAATAAATTAATCTTATAGAAAAGTCAAAAAACAAGCAACTAAAATTTGTTTTCCTAAAAAGTATTAACTATGAACAAAGGTTACAAAATATGAAACTTTCAAAATAGTTTGATAGAAGGTTCCGAGATAATTTAATTCAGATGTTTAAATTTTAAAACAATATAGATAAAATAAACTGGCATGACGAACCTGAAAGTATAACTAATACTACGAGAGGCTATGAGCAGAAAGTAAAAAGACAATATGTAAGAATTCACTCTCTATGCATAATTTATGCAAATCAAACAAAGATTTTGTAGAAAGCACAAAACAATTATATCACATTTTATCAGATAGTATTCACTTTTTCTCAGTGCCATAACAATTAATTCTTCAACATGAAGAGGCTGAACAATATCAGAGATGTGCTTTATTTATTATTTGATAAAAGTTTCTCAGTTTTGGATATTTCTACAAGCGTTTTTTCAAGAATAGTTTTCAAATCCAGAAATCCATTTTACACATTGATAAGAAATTTCCAACTTGTTTCAGTATTGAGATCTAAGCTCTTTTCCTCATCAGATCCACTATGTTACAAATTTTTCAAAAATCCTAAAGCGTATCATTTTTAAGTGGCAATTCTTTAAACAGCTTGATATTTTGACGAATCTTAAATTTAATTATTCCATCGTAATCGTTATATTTTCTTGTAACATCAGGATTGGAACAAGATTCTTCGTTTTCATGCTAAGTTTATAAAAGTTGCCTTTATAGCATGTCGATTATCAAAGATTTTAAGTCCTTGAGTTATCCAGCTGATTTTAATATCTTCAAAATTAGGCAAAACTGCAAAAAGAATATTATCTACAGTTGTTAAACGAGCTTTTTCAGCTTTGTCGTATACTTTCAGCTTTGTTACATGTTTAAAATATGTTAAGCAGCAACTCTTTGCTGTACATTTTTTGCTATTTCATGAACAGCTTTGATTGAAATTTCTTTTTATTATTGTGGCTTAAGGTGGTATCCAGCCATTATTTTGGTGAAAAAATGAAAAGAAAAAGAAAAAACTTGAAAAAAATTAAATTTAGAAAATTGAACCTTGTAGAATTCAATAGTAAAAATATCTTTTCCAAAATATCTTCAGAATATCAATTTTATTCTTTTCGAAAATATGGTTTATGTGCGTAGTCATAATTTTAAAACTGATTTTTCTCAGTTTTTGTTTTTTTTTATGAGTAGCTGTGGGAAAACAATAATATCTCAATAGAAAAACATTATTTTAGCTTCAAATTTTCATTATTAATGTGTTTAGTGCCTGAACTTGAAACAAAATTA